CTGCGAATTGCGACCAACGTATGGTTCTTCAAAACCAGGGCTTGGATCTACCCCTGATTCATTGTTATGACTACGAAATTGAATTGAGCCAAGCTTATTATGTTTGATTTTATGATCAGATACAGAACGGGTGGGGTTTGCAAATCAAACCTCTCATTTAAAGTAGAATTATTGTCACTTATTTGAGTCGTAGTAGCCAGAATCTCATTAATTTCCGACATCTTAGTGTTAAATCGCTGTAATTAATGGACTTGTCTTGGTTTATGCAAAAATCTTTGTTCGAATGACAAAAGAAAAGAATGTTTATTTACACTTAGCCGTGGCTATCTTATATTCATCCAGTTATGATTGGATAAATTCATTTCGGATATTTATTCATTTCTGATTGGATTGATTTGAAAAAAAAAAACAATGGCTTTTCTCGGCTTTCGTAGGTTTCCTACACCGATCGTAAAACCTATGTGGCCTTTTATGGCCAGCGCATCTATTACACTTTATCTTCTTCACAAAATTGAAAAAGCAGGACAGTCAGGTATAAGTCAACCTTTCGTGTAAACTTCCTATTATCATCACAAACTATATGTTGAATATTCTATTTACACTTGGATAGTTTCTCCATATGATGTCGATCCTCGCAATCCACGGGGTATGTATAGAACATAACAACAGAAACAAATTATTTGACTTGACTAACACATGATTTATATTAGCTTTGCACAATAAAAAATTAAAAGAACACTCCGGACACTGAGCTCAAAATATTTTGACATTGTCCAGTGCAAAAAGATTTGCATCTCAAAAGTCGCTAATAAAAATTTTTTTTTCAAGTCGTATGAGTACATATTCGATCAAAATTGTGTATCATTGTCAGAATAACTTGCGAATTGGCTTTTTTTAAAATGTATTTAGAAGTGTTTCTCGGCGGACAGAATGTTTGTATGCTTCACCCCTTACAGAAGCCCAAACGCATTCAATTGGCTAAAGTTCTTAGTGATAGGATGGGGTAAAAAAAAAAAAAAACAACTTTAAGATCGTTCGTTTCGCTAGTGTAGGAGAATGGCGTTTTCCCTTTTGCCATTTGAGCTAATTCTAAAAGCTTCGATTCTTGTAGTTTACTAGAAAAAGAAATATTATGAACGATTAGCCAGTGTTTTTTTTTCGGTTCCGATCAACTCACACTTAGCCAACATTACGTAAGGTTAAAGTTTAGCATTCGATTAGTTGTGGGTATATATTTTTACTAAATTTCACTAGCGTGATGTCGACGAAGTGATTGTGAAATAATACGTACCCGTTTTTTTTGCCTGATATCGGAATACTTGCGATCAGCCGTTTATAATAGCTTGCCACATTCATGTAAATATTCACTGGCCTATACTTTTCATAAAACTTGATGTTATCTACCTGATGGATACTGATAGCATTTATGGTTGTTAATAAAACATATAAACCATTCCAGTTTACAATCGAAGTGTTTTATATGTTTTATTACAGTCAGGGAATATATCAAATAAAGAAATTAGATTCTATATCAGTCACATGATACGTCAACTAAATTTTTTATATATAAAATTATAGCAAAAACATATAGAATTATTTATAAACTTTGAAGCTGTGATGTTTCTTTTCTTATATAATAACTTTAAATTAACTTTTATGAATAAATACATCAAAAGAAAGAGAATAAAATGTTTTTTAAATTGAATTAAAATTTTGTAATTTTAATATAATTTGAAATATAACTGTTAAAAATTAAAAATTTAACAATAATTATATGTAAAATTATACCCTAAATAACTTTAGTTAGGGAGTTAAAAAGGTTATCTTAGTAAAAAAAAAAGTTTTTTATGTACTAATATCAAAATTTTCAGTTTATCTATATAAAACTTTTTTACTTAGATAATCCATTCTGATCTTTTAAGAAATTTGTTTAGCACATAATTTTATATATTTTATATCTTGTAAATTTTGTTTTTTTTAAATTTTTTACTAAATAAAAGTTTAGATCAAAGGTTATATAAAAAATTTTTTTTAAAAAAAATTTTTGTGTAATTTTTGATCTAATTTTTTATTTAGTAAAAAGTTTAAAAAAAACAAAATCAGCAAAATATAAATTATATAAAATTATATATCAAAATAGGTTATCTAAAGTTTTATATAGAAAAATTAAAAATTTTGATATTAATATATAAACAATTTTTTTTTTACTAAAATAATTCTTTTGTACTTTCTAACTAAAGTTTTTTTCATATCAGCTGATTTGAGAAATTTTAAATTAGAGTATATATTTTTAAAATTTTAATATTAAATAACTTTTTATAAATTAGTTTATTTAAAATAATTTTACTATTAAAAGGAAGTAGCAACTTAGTGAAGTAGTTAAGTTGTCATATCTTCAAGCAATATGTTAGCAGGTGGGATAGTATTCCTATGAACTGAATTGAACTGAACTTTTGGCCAAGTTCAAGTTCAGTTCAAAATTAAACTGAACTTGAAAAAAGTTTAGTTCAGATTTAATATTAAATTTTTAAGTCAAGTTTAGATTTAGTTCAAGTTTAGTTTAAAAGTTCATAAACATATTCAAGTTAAATGAATTATATATATACAGTATATATATATATTATATATTGTCAAAATTATTTACTTCCAATAATAAGCTATTTTCTTTTTTTAGAAGAAAAACATAAAAATTTCTTAAATTTAAAAATAAGCTATTTATATAATCATCAGTAGTTATTCTATAGTAAAATCAAAATTTTATTAAATAAATCGATCTATCTTATTAAGTAAAAGTTGTTCAAAATAAAAAACTCTTTCCATCAATCACTTACACAAAACTTAACTAAAAATTTGTCAGTTAAAAATCTTTAATAACACATTAAT